CTAATAAGAGTTATAATATTGCTATAACTCTTAGGTTTTCTGCTGCCTTTTGTATAAGCAATTACTAGTAAGAGAGAATAGCAAATTATAACTTAAGGATAATATTAAGGGCAAAAAGTTAACTGTTTGCATAGGATCTAATACTCTAGCCCCCCCCCTCTCTAACGCGTTCTTGCTTATTGTACACAACAGAGTTTTTACTAATTGTTACTTAAAAACGCCCCCTTAAACGCCCTCCTAACGCTTGCCCATAGATGTCTAATCAGGTCCTATATTACTAGGAAAAATCGACTTTCTAAGACGTATTATGGACTGTAAGGGGACCTCTCTTAGTTGTACGTTACGATTGACAGTCCTCTTACGTTTGTACGGCTCACGTGACCGTAACTATTCACTTTTCTGAGTCGTAGTACGTACGGTTGGAAGCGCTGACGGCATCGTTTGGGACACTAGGCTAGCTACCGATTGGTATCCTATACCGACTTTGATTGTAGATTGACAACCCATTTCGAGAATATTCGAAGGCAAAGGCAAAGGCAAAGAGACTGTGGAGTCTATCACTGTTACTGAAAGTTCCCCCGAGGATTCCATTATTTGGGGCCTACAGAAGTGGAACAAATATTGCAAGAAGAAAGACAGATGCGGATAAAAAAGGACTGGGAGTGATTCGACACCTAATACCCGTATTTCCACCTTGAACCGCCTCCGCTCCTAAGGGATAAATTTAAGCATCTAACGGCCAGTACAGCAGTCAAGAAAAACGCCCACATTGCGTCGGAGCTTATGCAGCACAAAGTATTGGAATGTCAGGATCTAGGATACGAAGTATTTCGTTACAATTTTAACCCTATTGTAGTTAAGTTTCTCACGAAAGCCCGTCAAAAGATGCGGTTGTTTAGTTCACCTCAGAATATTCTAAGTTTAGAGCTATATTTTACTATACATGGTCTAACATAAGGGCAGTGGAGCAAACACTCATGGTTCGAATGAAATACGATTGGAAGATTTGGATAAGCTAACACAAATAAAATAATCTGATCCTTCATGAGTAGGGCGAAGGGACCAAAATCAATGGAGATTCATAACACCTTTGGCAGATCTATCTTTACTAAAATGAACGCTCTTGGCACTTGGAGCGACGACAAGCTTGCAAATATTATTTAATCTAGCTGAGCTAGCGAAAAGCGGCTAACATGAGCAATCTAAATTTAGCATTTGTACGATCGCTAGAGTAAGGACTCAGCGTTCGACAAGCCCGCTACGATACTCTCTCTAGACAACTTACTCATCAGAACGGCGAAGATCAGGGCACCACTCAAAATACGGCTTTGATCCCTTCTCCAATTCACTTCGAAAGGTGGATTTGTCTTGGAGGCTTTCGTTGTTCCGTATATGCACATTGAACCCTCCTTTGTGTTCCTACCATCACGTGTTTGCTCATTGGTTCCTTCTTTTCGCATCTTAATACCCTATTCATGCAGTAGAGGCATTTGGGAAGTGCGCTAGGTGTACCAGGGGACTGCTTTAATTGTATTCTTATTCTTATGGCTGCCGGGGGGGCGTTTATTTCATAGATATGGGTCTTTATACCATTCTTATTTGATATTTCTCCAGTTTTGGTTTACTGTCCTTGTCATTCAAGCTCACTAGCTTAGGCGTACAGCTTTATTGATACCTCACTCGACTAGCCTTCTATATGTTGAGACGAGAAAAGTGGTGAAGATGGTCGCAAACGTAACTTCGACCCCCATTCACGACCCCACCCCCACGGCACCGAACACATTCCCAGGTCACCGGCGTCGCCAGCCACGAGCACCCATCACCAGGTCGCAGGGAGCGTTTACAGTTCCTCGGAATGTAGAGACATGTGCTGTGTGCTTTGAATTATTTATTCTTTTCTCGGGATGCAGTTCACGTAGCTGTCTACACTACATCTTCACCGACAAAACTCTCCACCATTATTCCTCGAGCACCATCTTCAACTGCATCTACCTATCACCAAATATTTCTCAGACTTCATTCTTCCCTATTGACTTCCTATAGCCATTCAGACCTCGTCTTTCTTTCCACTATGAAGGACCGACCACCTTTGCCAGATGTCCGGTTCTCCAACGAGGACCATACAAGCAGCGACGACCCCGTAAAAGAGAGATATGCTGCTTCTGGCAGCATCAAACGTTCTTGGGTCCCTTACTACCAGAGGGCTTCTTCTTCTAATGATGGAAGTGCATCGCCCTACTTAGGGGCCGATCAACATGACGTTCACTTTGCAGCATATGCGAGCCTCTTTGATGACCCCTCCGAGATCGGTCATCTCAACATCGATGGCGAAGGAACCTTCGCGCAAGGCCCAAGTCAAGCCATTCTCTCACCAACTCCTACAAACCAGAACGATCCCCGCGTTTTCTCTAGCGCTGAGAAATACACTGAAGTATCTCAGGCAGAGTCACAAACCCTCGATGCCCAGAGAGGATATGGTCAAACCTCATATAACGCCCAACCACTCCCCTCATTCGCTGAAGCCGGAACATTTGCGTCGATGAACGCCACACACTGTCCGACAACCCACCCCCATCTTGCCCCACAGATCGGGGATCGCAACACTCAATACCCAGGTTTTAGGGGAATATTTGCGGACGCATACGGGGCAAGCCACTTCCGTAAATCTGCAACCCGGTTTAAGCGGAAGCCATATCAAGCACCGGAGGCCGATTGTAGCATCGCAGAGATCGTGGCGCATCGGAGCTTTCATATCTCCCGTATCTACAACGCTATGACACGAGTTGATGCTGCCAAAGATAATCCAAATTCTATCGCTATGCGTCGCTGGGTGCATTCTGCATACTATCCTTCCGATCTGGTCGAAGCGTATGCTCACAAGATCCTTGATTGCCTTATCCAGCAGGCGAAGTACGGCTTTCGCGGTTGGCATCACAATGATTATGCTCAGGATGAGCGGAAGAGTGAAGACGAGGATAAAAATGTGGATTGTAAGGGTAGGCTGGCGAATGTGATTAAGGGCCTAGAAGAGGAGAAGACTATATGTGAAGATGTGATGATGAGTGCGGCGCAGGTCCGCATGTTTGTCAATGCGCCTAGAGCGTATGCAAGAAGGAAGGAGGCGAACAGGGTTGGGAATAGTAAGAGGGGAAGGAATAAGAAGGATGATGGAGTGGAGATGGGCGGAAGAGGCAGAAAGACGAGGAGAGTGGACGCTGGGAAGGCTTCTGAACCGCACAATATGCCACAGCGTGCTGAGAGCTATGAAGATGAGGGATGTGGTTCCCATCATGTTGGAGCAGGCCGTCAAGACCGGGGACAACCTCTCCATTACCCGACGCCATCTCCTCGGCTTGCGCATGATGCTGCTATGCGCCACGCTTCTCCCAGTGATGACACTGATGTCTTTCCTGAAAGAAGCCTCATGGGAGAGAGCCCCACAATGTTGTTTGTCTCTCCACCACCTCAAAGCATGACTTCTCTACGAATTACACCTGTGCCGCGCCAAAGTCGTTCACCGTTTCTGTCCCCTGCTCATCATCAGCCCCTTCATATTTCCGCTCCGGTGACCCCGCAGCAGCATCACAGACCTGGAATGAATATTCACGCCCAGAAAAACATACCACTTCACGGCTACAGCTCCTCATGGTCCCATCCCGCCGATTTCAATCACACCTCCACCGCCATACACCACAGCAGTGTATCAAATCCTCCGGCCCCAACCTTCGACGACCAAATCTTATTCTCGGATGCAGCTCAACCCCCAATAGAGGCGATTGATCCCCTCCTCTTCGCCCCGCTCTTGAACCACGCGCACACCTTCCCGTCCATCGAAACGACCATTCACAAAAACAATACCGGCGCGGGTGCGGATTTCTTGACGTTCTGGGAGAATCAAAATGGTGCGCAGCAGTTCTCTTTTGAGCATCCGACGTCGGAACAGGGGCGAAGCGAGGGCGAGGGCCCAGGGTCTTAGTGGTTGAGCAGCTGGTTTTTTGAGCATACGGTAGGGAGTTTAGGTTCATGGGGGGGGGGGAAGAGAAGGGTGAGAAATATTGGAATAACGATGCGGCACCCACAGCCTTCAGGCTTCAATCGGAGTACGAATACATTTCGAGAGTAAAGTTCAGATTGGCGTTGGGAATAGAGGATGTTCTCAACACTGAGACGGGATATGTCGTTTGCAGAATGGGAGACAGCGTGGGCATGATTCTTATTTCTCCCAGCGGCTCTTGGTTTTGCTTGGATGAGATTGTTATCGATCTGTGATGTAGGTCTTGCGGACATGGTTTTCTTTTTGGGGGGTATTTTGAGGGTTTCGGGGCGCTGTGTTGGGGGTGTTGTGGAGAGTTTTGGATTGTTTTAGGATGACTTGTCCGTAGTCTGATACCCCTTGAAATGAATGCACAGGCTTTGAATTGGCACGATGCACGATGCCTTTCGGAATGTTACCTGTGATGAGGTTGAGGTCCTGGGGGATAAGTGTGGAAGGCGCGATTATCGGTTTTAGTTTAGCGTGAGGGGTTGATTCGCGTCAGATTCAACGTCGAACCATGATATTCCTCATGCAAACATTATGTTCGTCGTGTTCCTATAAGGCGTTGAGGGTTTAGGATGAGATGGATGGCTTGAATAGAAGATAAGAGATAGAATGCAATGGAATGCAATAGAATTCAATAGGGTGGCAATGAGACACAATGTGATGCGGTGAGACACAATTGGACGTAACGGGATACAATGCGATGCGATTCTATTCAATGCAGGCCAACGCACGTGCCCCTTAGAGATCTTTCACAAGAGAAAATGCCTTTCCTTGCAAAAGATTCTCCGCTCCAAAATCGTACCAGAGTAGAACCGTTAGATACGGTGAAACAGGTTTGTGTGATTGGACTCCCGCGAGAGCGCTACTGGACAATCAAATAGTAAGTGCCTCTTATATAATGCAGAACGGAAGAATGCTATTTGGAGATGAATGGGATGAAATATCTACTACTAAACGGGTTTCTGGCCCCTCGAGTATACACCATCTTGATTCACACTACCATGCGCCCATGTGAACAATTTTTACCCTTAAAGCTGAACTTTCTTTACAGGCACAGAAACCTGTTGCGTGAACCTGTTGCTCCGTATTCTCAGGCCATGTCACGGCTATGAGGGGTGAAATGTCGGGTTTCGGGCATTGCTCTTAGAAGAAGTGGACGTATTGCTGTTTGGATGGTAGCATGATCCGAAACAGTGAGTTCAATTAAATCATTTGGAGAACTAGAAATCTTCGAGTGACAATTAGGATTACTCAGCCGCCAAAGTTGGTATGTATTAAAGTAGTTTCTCGTTACTTTTTCATTATCTTCTCACTTTTGGTATCTCGGGAGTTTAGTTCATATCTTGATATTCATATATTCTCTGTCTATGCAAGCTTTAATACCCGATAGTATCATATTAAAGCTAGGAACATCTTGAGCTGCCGGGCTTTGGGTTCTTTGGGTGGAAGGTTAGCGGTATCATTCCGCAAGGATCACTTCAGGTAGTGATTAACAGTGATTCCTAGTAACCCTGGTGACGCCCTAACAAAGATAACAATGACCCCGAACACTTTATCTCGCGTTCCTATCAGCCCCTAGGCGATTGTTCACATGACCTGGCGATTCACCCTGCCGGGAGACTCTTGGCACCTCTACAAGACAGTCATCTCGACAGGTTACCTGCTACCATCCCACCTTCTCTCTCTCCAACCTGCGCTCACACTTTTGGTCCACACCAACCCGCACTCTAGCTTTTGCCCATATCTATTCCCCTCTACCTTATTCTTTTACTCAAATCCATTCGCTCTATCTGTGTAACAAACGTCATGGACGGCCACGAACACTGGCAGAATGAACGCTGCCGCTCTCACTGCCTCGGTCCACAAGGCCGTAATGCAGCGGGCACACCGGGTCAAGATATACAGCATAACTACTTATATGATCAACTCGACCCGCTCTCCCCTGAGCAGGAGCGAGTTGGACGTGAAGAAGGAAATGAAGCTCCAGGTCAGCACCCAGGTTTCGGAATTGATGATTCAAGTCCGCACAACCAGTTTGATTCACGTTCGCGCCCACGGACCTCCCTGCAGCATCACTCCTCCTATCAGCATCTCAACTATCAAATGAACTCCCAAGAATTCTCCCACCACAACTCACCGGTGATGGGTATGTCCCAGCACCAGCCCCAGCCACCGTCAAGTGGTTGGTTGGACCCAAATATACACATCGAATCTCAACTTCGTGAGCTCAACAGTCCTACGAATACTGGCTCTGAGAGTTCGCTTGGTCCTCGTGGCCACTTCACTTCCACCCCTTCTCATCGTCCACCTTGCCAAGGAGGCGGTAGCTGTCACCACTGCTTCCACCCCGGTCAACAGTCCGGATTCCCGAGTACCGGCGTATCTGTCAGTGAAGGATTTTCGCCTGTTGTTCGGAGTTCTGGACAAGCACAGGAGTTCGATCTACCCTCAGATTATGAATATCTCAATAATGGTGACCATGGATTCAGGATCACTACCGGAGGAAACTCTTCCTGTGCTCATCACCGGATTACTCATAGAAGAGAAAGCGCTGCACAGGAACCGGTTGGACAGCTCGAACTCTTGCAAAATGACTTACCGGCTAGTGAGGGTTTATCACTACTGCCGAGTCATGATTCACTTCAATCTTTCGGTGTGTCAGACGGAGCCTTGCCACCAGAGCCTGCGGATCCATATCTAGGAGGGGCCGCCTCGCAGCAGTCTCAACCTGCCCATGGTAAGTGTCTCGAATAAAAGCCTAATTTTTTTTTATCAATACTAACGGCTCTCAATAGGCGCCACGGTTCACCACCCCTGGGAGATGTCTCCCTGGCTAGAGCGAATCGACCGGCTATATGGGGCCCTAGTACAATGCCAACGCTCTGATACTCCGCCCGGCACGCCGCCAGCGAGCTCTGTTGGTGGTCTTCCCATTGCTCCAACAGTTCCGCGCGAGTATACGAACGATTGGGACGTGGCGATCACCCACCGCCGTGAAGTAACCACCGAGCCCGCGGTCAGGCCCGAGAAAGATCCCACGATCTCACAAGTTCTCAAAAACGCTGAGTATTGGGTTGGCCAGCTGTATTCGGCGTTCAGGAATACACACAAATGCCTAGATAAGGTGAACTCTCATGATGTGAAGAAGTTCGATAGAGAGAACTTTTACCGAATCCACCCAAAGGTCGAGGCTGTTTGTAGGGAGATATTTGTGAGCACTAGCCTTCCTCCGTGTTATACGGGTTAGTAACAGTGACTAGGTTGCGCTGATCTCGCGTGTCACGCGTGGATTCAGACAAGGTACCCGAACTCGCAACGATGCGGAGGACCCCGACGCTTCCTGCATCAAGGATCGGGATGGCTCCTGCCGCGAGCGAATCCAGAACGTGGTCGTCGTGTTGAAGGTAAGGGCTTTAGATCTTATTGGGATTTGCCTCTTGCTAAAGTTCGTTCTAGTACGATAAGCGTATTTGTCGCGACGCGATGAAAGACTTTAGTAAGATTGAGGAGTTAGTCAATGCTCCACTGTCCGTTGCTCGTGTAAGTTTATTTCTATTCATTACTCTCTACAGTGTTCGCTAATTTTTTTTTATAGATTAAACAGGGCAACGCTGCCAATAACAGCAAGAGGACCCTACTAGGCCAAGACAACCAGGAGCTTAAAGCCAAACTGGCAGCCTTGGAACAAACTCAGACCGAGAGTACTCCACCTAGCTCCACACCAGTTGGTACTCCAGCTGCTACTCAAAGCACTCCGGCACATCGCTCGTCTAAAAAGAAACTCGCTCAAGGAGGGCCTGGGACGAGCTCACCGGCGGCGGGAAGTACCATCCGCCGCGCTACTCCAGCTACAGAGGCGCAACTTACCTCCGCTGGGGAGTCTTCAGGGTCGCCAACTAATAATGCCTGTCAAACTGTTACTCCAGCCAGTCCGGTCGATCCCCGCTTGCTCCGAGCTGGAATTCCTCCGGGCAGGTTTTTCTCTCAGGCACCACGGCTTCCACCAGCTGGCTTCCAGCACCGGAATCTGACGGGTACACCGTCTGGAGGGTCGCGAGCTCCCATGCCACAACCCCCAATTCCGCCAGCACCAGCGAGGATCGCCAGCGTGTACCCCCAGCCAGAACCATTCGATTCCCCAGGCTTTCTGAACCGATCAGCTTCGCAAACTGCATCACACTTTAGAAACCAGGGATCCGCTGTTTACCAGAAAGTTTCCTCTGCACAAAGCCAAGCGTATATAGGACAAGGGCAAGATTTCACTGGTCAGATGCAACCCTACATCCGCAGTGGCCAAGTCTATACCACCCCAGGTAAGGGTTTTTCGGCTGAGAGGAAGCGCCCACGCGAGCAGAAAGAGTCTGAGGCTCCAGATGAAAGTCCTAATAATAAGCGGACCAAGAACGATAAGGGACGAGACGACGCTCAGGACGAATTAGACGGCGACGCGGAGTACGAAGAAGAGAATGGAGAGGATTCAGGCGATTTCAACTGCAATTTCAACTGGCCATGAATTAAGTGCCTGGTGTTGGCTCTTGACAATCTTGACCTGTTCGAACATGGTTGTCCTGCCGTATTCCTCATTTTTATTTCTCAGTTTCCCTGAAGCTCGCTAGATTCCATGTGTAGATTATGTGCAGAGAAGGAATGCATGATACCCATGGGCTAGATCCCTGTTTTCTAAAACCAAGGGCAGTTAGTAGGATAGTACAATACAAGAGATTAGTTGTGAAGCAATCTTAGCTTTCCTATTCAACAAATTATAAACTAGGCTACTCTAACTAGTTTTTTTTTTTTTTTTAAAAAAAAAGCATTAGTGTTTTTAAAATTTACAAAGGTCTACTAATAGTTTATATACTTTTTTTTTGTTATCTCTTTACTTTATTATAATTGTTTTTTAAAAACCTTTATAAAGAAGAACGCTAAGTCTGTTTAGCTAGCTTTTTAAAGTAGAGGTAGTAGAATATAAACTTTACTATATATTTATAACTACTCTACTACTCTACTATTAAAACTCTAGCTAACTATCTTATTTAAGCATAGATGTAGTTATTAAAAAGTATACTACTTTTTTTTATAAAAGATTTAATTCTAAAAACTAAAACTGTCTGTATGTAGCAACAGCGTTATAGTCTAGATAGTTATTGCGCACAAGAAGGATTATGTAACTATATTATATAATGCTTGTGCGTAAACCTCTGTGCGCGAACATCTAGATATTCCCTTTTTTCTCTATACAGAGAAAAGACAGAGCAATAGAACTAGAAACATGTTGCCCCCACCCTACATACTTTATACGCTGTGCACACTATACACTACTCTTACTTTTACTATTTAAATGCTTATACTATGAGCAGCTAGCTAAAAAAGCTTATTTAACACTAATTAGTAGTTAATTTAATTAACTATAAATTAGTGAAAGTAATAATAAAGTACTTACACTTTATAAAGTACTCTATTTTATTACTTATTTTTAAAAATAGTAGATTAATTTTTTACATTATACAGTAAGCTCTACTACTATATAAAGTAAAAAGAAGATAGTGTAAGACACACACTAAAAATAAATAATAAAGCTGCATAAACTAGCAGCTAGATAATAATAGCAGTACTTATATAATTTACTATATAAGTAATTAACTATACTACTATAATAAAATTCTACTAGTAATTAATAACTTTATATAATAAATAAAAAAATAAGAAATAATTTCTATTATTATTAAATAGGCTTTTTTAGCTAGCTGCTTATAGTATAAGCACTTAAGTAGCGAGAGTAAGAGTAGTGTACAGTGTGCACAGCATACAAAGTAGGTAGGGTAGAGGCAACATGTTTCTAGTTCTATTGCTCTGTCTTTTCCTCTGTACAGAGAAAAAGAGAAATATCTAGATGTTTACACATAAAGTTTTACACATAACGTACTTCACAGGCAAGTTGCTTACACACCTAAGTTGCTTACTTTTACTAAGACTTTACTAAACTACTTTTTTTATACTAATGCATTTCTAATAACACTACTTAGACATGCTAAAAAAATATTAAATATAGCTTACACTTTAAGATTTTAAATAAAATATAAAACTCTTAAAAAAACATGCTATAGCTATGTATAAAGTTCTTTAAAAAATAATAAATAACTATAACATACTTTATAGGCAAGTTGCTTACACACCTAAGTTGCTTACTTTTGCTAAGACTCTACCCTAACAAACTCTATTATAGCCTATAACAACCTACTCTAGCACTATATAGTATAGTACAGCCTAGAATATTATTTAGATACTACTTCTACTTCTTGCTTACACATTTACGTGTTATGCCTAGTCTAATTACACTGTCTATAGCGCCTTTAGGATAGCTTACTTACTTTAGCTTACACCTACTTCTTTACTTTTTTTTTATTACTACACGCTTTAAACTTCTTTAGAGATATTAAGTGTAAGCTTTTTTAAATTATTAAAGTTTTTTTTACTTTAATCTACTTTTTTTTATGTAATTTATATTATATAGTAGCTTTATTAGCTACTTAAAGGTTAGTAATTTTTTATTACACTAACACTAGCTTATATATAATTATTACTACTCTTTTTAAAACCTTTTTAAACACTTTAACTATAAAAGTTAGTAAACTATTTATATACTTTTAAATTTTTATTTTTATAAGTATTAATTATAACTTAAGTTTTAAAGTATTACTTAGGGTTTATAACTACTAGAGCTTATTATATATAAGTAGTAGTAGTAATAAAGTGCATAACTTTATATTAAGGCCTATTATAACTTATTATAAGTTAAAAGAAACTAATTTAGTGCTTTAAAACTTTTCTTAGATATTACTTAAAGTAATTATAGCATTATAAGCTATTTTAAAGTATAATAAAAACTTTATTTTTATAATATAAGTAATTTAGTTGCGCATAAAGTTTTTAGCTTAGCGCTTATACACCTTTTTTAAAGGAGTAAAACAACCTACATTAAGTAGCTATAAAAAGTGTAATAAGTAAAAAAGTATATAAATAGTAACGTACCTAACAGGTTAGCTAGCTACTTTTGCTAAGCCCCCACCACACTCTACCTATCTATATAATGCTTTAACAACAACACTAGATTAAATTTTCTAAAGAATGTTAGATACAGCTTACTTTTTAGGCTTTTAAATAAAACTTAAAACTTTTTTTATAACACGCTATAGCTATTTATAATGTCTCTTACATAACACTAAGTAATTAACGCGCTAGATAGCCTTTAAAAGCAGAATACTAGCTTAAATTAAGAAATCTAACTAAGCTTAAAAAAAAGTAGTTATAAAATATATACTTAAGCTTATTACACATAGATTTCTTTTTAAGCTTATAGCTATAGCTAATATAGCTAATTCCTTACGCGTAGAGTGTAATCTAGGCTAGGTTAGCTTAAACTAGCCTAGTATATAAGTTAAGCACTGCTCTAAGTTTATAATAAAGTTTAATTATAAGTATAATTATAAAAAAGTGCTCTATAAGAATTTAAAAGTTATCTAGAGCTAGTTTTACCTAGTAGCTAACATAAAAGCTAAGTATAGTATCTAAAATAAAAACATATATAACTTTAATAAGTTAAGCTTTATAATAGGCTAAATATTAACTAAAGTAGTTATTATAGCTTTAAAAAGACAAGAACAGCTAAAAGTAATATAGTAAAGTAATAAAAAGTAGATAATAGTTATCTAAGGTATTAACATAATAAAGTAAGCTATTTTACTCTTTATTATTTTTAAAGGCTGCTATTACTTTTTTACTTAGTATAAAAAAAAATCTACTTTAGAACTAAGTTATTATAGTCTTTAAAAACAGCTAGATAATAAATAAGCTTAGGCTATAGTAGTTAAAGCACTTTAATAAGCATATAAAAAAAAGGTCATAAGTACTTATTAGCTTTTTATTATTAATAGCTATAAAAGCTATAACTTACTTAATTTCTAGTAGTACTATAAGAAGAATAAAATTATTACTATTTATATGCTTTTACACTTATTACACTTTTTATAGCCTTTTAATGTAGGTTGTTTTGCCTCTTTAAAAAAGGTATATAAGCGCTAAGCTAAAAATCTTATATGTAACTAGATTACTTATATTATAAAACTTAAATTCCTACTATACTTTATACACACTTATAATGCAGTAATTACTTTTAGTAATATTTAAAAAAGGTTTTAAAGCGCTAGTTTAGTCTTATTTAACTTAGAATAAGTTAAAATAGCTCTTAACATTTAGTTATATACTCTATTACTACTACTACTTATTAATAATAAGCTCTAGTAGTTGTAAACTTTAAGTAATACTTTTAAATTTAAGTTATAATTAATGCTTATAAAAGTAAAAATTTAAAAGCATGTAGGTAGCTTACTAATGTTTATAGTAAAGGCTTTTAAAAAGGTTTTAAAGAAGGCATTAATTATTACATATAAGCTAGTATTAGCACAAAAGAAGATTATAAAGCTTTAAGCAGTAAATAAAGCTGCTACATAACATAGATTACATAAAAAGAAGTAGATTTAGGCAAAAAAGACTTTAATAGTTAAAAATAAGGCTTATTTAACTACTTTAAAGAAGTTTAGAGCGCGTAGTAATAGAAAAAAGCTAAAGACATAAGTGCGCGCTAAAAAAGGTAAGCTAAGTTAAAGGTAATGTAAGCAGTATAATTAGACTAGGCATAACTTGCGTATATGTAAAAAAGTAGTAGAAGTAGACTCTAAATAATATCTTATGTTATATTACTTTATACAGGGCTAAAGTGGGCTGTTTTGCGCCAGAATAGGGTGGTTTTAGTAGGGGCTTAGCAAAAGTAGCCGGCCAACCTGTTAGGTACGTTAATAATTTTATTATCTTTATAGTATTACTAAAAATAAAGTAAGTTATAGCTTTTATAGCTGTTAATAACTAGCAGATAGTAGCTGCTAACAGTACACTTTTTTATATGCGCGTTAAAGTGCTTTAACTAGTCTAGACTAAGCTAATTAGTAGTTTAGATATGCTTAAAAATTATAATAACTTAATCTTAAAGTAGATTTTTTTATACTAGTTTAAAAAGTAGTTGCTACTTTAAAAGATAATAAAAGGCAGAATAGCCTACTTTTTAGCATTAATGCTTTAAATAGCTGTTGTCTACTTCTAGTTACCTAGCTAGACTACTTTTAGCTGTTCTTATCTCTTTAAACTTATAATAACTGCTTTAGTAGATATCTAGCTTATTATAAACTTTATTTTGTTAAAGTTATATATGTTATTATTTTAGATGCTATACTTAGCTTTAATATTTTTTATAAAGTTAAACTAGCTTTAAATTACTATAAAATTCTTATAAAAAGCTTTTTTATAGTTATACTTATACTTAAACTTTATTTTAAGCTTTAAGTAACACTTAATAAATATATTAAGCTAGTTTATGCTAACATAGCTTATATTACACTTAATGTGTAAAAAATTAGCTATATTAGCTATAGCTACTAGCTAGGGGGGAAATTCTTACGCATT